CCCAATGAAGTTTATGATGTGCCACAGCACCATTATAATTGCTTCTTTTATAGTTTCCAAGTCTGTATAGATATTACTAGACATTTTTGCCTTAATGCAACATTTACACTCTATATTCAGTTTAACTTTATCTTTTATAACTATTATCAATTGTTCATTCTCCATCTCTTCAATAATCCGCATATTTGCGAGTCAATGCCACACATGTTTTTCTCTTGATACATATGCTGCCTCTTTTCTGTTTCTTGCGTTCCACTTCTCACTCCTTTTATTGGAACTTAACACATTAGCGATGATCACTGATTTTGACCATTGATATTAATATTCATTTATATCAGCAACACAACATACCTTTCAATCTCACTATATTCTCCATATCTTGTTATAAGAGGCCATCACATAATTAATTGAATTCCTTTTTGTCTGCCTAAACCATCTCCATTTTCTAAATTTTCATTTGACCATCAAACATTTCTATCTTGTATGTCATATGGTTAACCGACCTAGAATACAATAGACATATCATACTTTACATATTTATGTTGCAGCTTCACTTTTTTATTCCTATAAAATATAATTCTTGGCATCTATGCTGATGATATTCCATGGGTCCAATATTCTTCTATTGTTGCATGTGTCTCTTTATTTCAACAGAATATTGTCTTTTCTAACTTACACTATTTAATTATAACTAAAGGTTATGTCAATACAAATACTTACATTCTTTTCGTGATGCAGGCACACCTGTATGGGCACAACAATGCTTCCAATATTTGTTTGCAATTTTTTCTCATTTTCCATGCACTCTCCTGTTCACTTGGAGAAAAATTAACAAATCGCTTAATTTCTGTGCTTAATTTATGAAATTTTATAATTTCGTTGTAAAGGCATACCTTTGCATATTTGTCGTCTGCCCGGTAAAGAAATGAATGCTGATTGTCTAATTAAAACCGCTGTTTCGGCTAAATTTATTAAAGAATGTAGAAAACTTGATGATTTTATTTATTAAAATAAATTAAAATATATTAGGTGCACGTAACCAGAGTTAGTAAACTATTTGCGAAACTATTCCAAAGTCATAGGTGGCGCTGATCGCAGGCGGTAAAATTTGTATTCGAACTGGATACTAGAAATCAATTCGACAGTAGAAAATTAATAAATTGCCAAGTTTTTGTAATTAATTCATGAAAATTTATAGCTGCACAGCAAAGTTGGAATTATAGGCAACATTCTTATAGGATGTTTAATTTAATAATTAATACTTACATGAGCGATAGGTTTTGTATTTCCTGTAGTAAACAAGATTGCTATAGAAAAGTATTTTTCTTGCATAATATTCTTATTATTTTGTAATAATTATACACTAGCATAAGAAAGCGTAAAAAATAAATTATTTTATTAAGAAATTTTATTTACAATTTTTTCATAGACGAAAAATGAACACAATCAAAAATAGTTTAAAAAACTACCAACTATGGGACGAGAATCGAACCACGGTCCATTACCACAGGAATATTCATCTATCGCTTTTAGGCCACGACTGCACTTGTAAAATGATGGAAATAAATCTGTAATTACGAAAGTAATGAAACTTTAATCGTAAATATCTCAAAAACTATTGAGTAGTTGCCGCTATAATGATATATTTTCTTAAACTGCATGACGATATCTACAAACCTGCAGAGTATCAACTAAATCGGTGACCCGAAGCACTTGCACTTCCTTGTTAGCTTAATTCCTCTTCATTTAAATATCATTTAAACAGATATTGCCCACTCTCTATTTTCAAATTCCAAAGGGAACAGTGAAAATTCACAAGAGATAGGACATATGTTATACTTTGTGCGTAGCTCTTAGCTTGATATCGTTTCCCAAAGGAAAACGATACCAATTACCAGGTCTCACCACGTGGAGGTGGCTACGCATCGAGACCCGACATGCGCCCTAGTGGCGCAGCCTGCTGGTGCTACCTGTATCAAAGGTACCCTAATCTAACTTGGAGCGAATTAAGTTAAAGTGACTCTACTGACACTTTATTTTATTTCGTGTCTTACAAAGGGAACTTCGATTCGGTATACTGAAACTCTACTGTCGCAACGCTAAGATATTTTCAAGTTCCCATAAAAATAGGGAATGAAATATCAAACACGCGAGCAAATAGAAAATCGCGACGCGCCCGAACGAGATCGCGATTATTCGAAAGACCGACTAGCCTAGGCGATGTACTCCCGTGTACAGAGATAACTTCATACCTCGGCACCCTCCCGATCGGGCCTAGCTCAATTCCAGTCACTGTCGCACTCGCCAAGACTTACACGTGGACCAAGGATAGTCCCTGAACCAATGAAACTTCTAGTGTCAACGCGAGGGCCCTGCTGGGCGGTTGCCGGCCAAGACAGACACTTCGCATCCCAGCCACACGGGGTAGAACTTAATCATCCCTGTGGTCTAACCGTAGATGGTACTAGTCCGTCAGCCAGCATGTGCCCGAGCCCCAGTCGCGTACGACTTAGGCAGCGGACCGCCCCGTCGAGGTCAGAAGACGCACTGATCCGAGGGGGTCACCCTGGAACCCGATGCATGACGAGATTGACAGTGACTGGAAATGAGTGTCGGAGACGAGTCGTGAGGATGACTTACGAAGCATGTACTTATCGAGTACACGAGAGCACGTCGCGTAGGCTAGTCGGTACTTACGAACGATCGCGATTATCGCGAGAACAATTATGTTCTATTTGCTAAACGAGGGGGATAAGAAAATGATAGAGAATTTATAAATTTCGCTCCAAATTAGGTAGCTTACCTTTGTACAGACAGCGCGCACATGATACTTAGTCTATGGATCTATCTTATGATTACTTAAAAGTAAACGCACGCATCGTTCATTGATGTGTCGCAAACAGAATCTTGAGAAACCTAAAAGCTAAAACAGAATATATTATTGTTAATATGTAGCTGAAAGGAAAGGGATTAGTACGAGGAAACCATCAAGGATAATAACCAAATGGAACGAGCAAGCCAACGACGAGACCTGAGCAACATAACTACGAGACAGAAACATTCCAACGGTGAGATATAAACATACCAACGAGGAAGCGCTCGAGTATTATACGAAATACTCGAACGCTCTAACGAAAACAAATCGAACGGAAGTCGTAAAATTTGTGAAAGGAAAGATTTAGCCAACGATGAGACATAAGTAAACCAACGACGAAGCATTCGAATATTATACGAAATACTCGAATGCTGAAACAAAGACACATAGAATGAAAAAAATAAAATCTGCAAGAAGAAATTATTGTTAAATTATTTAAGAGAGTGGACAATGGCCACTGAATAGCCATTGATCTAGCCAACGATGATATACAATACAAATAAACCAACGACGAAGCATTCGAATATTGTACAAAATATTCGAATGCACAAACAATGAGATCTAGAATAAAAGAAATAGAATCTGAAAGAAGAAAGGTAATTAAAAGCTGAAACAAAAAATAATTAGTACCTGAAAGAAAAATATTAACGCGGACCCTCCGAAGTCGAAGCGACAACTGGCTCGAGTCTGCACGCGGGGCCCTTATATAGCAGCGGCCGACCGAAGATCGGCGAAAATTTCCGAACTTTACCGATTCCTTTAAAAGTTACTTTTCCGCTGTAGTAACTAATAATTCATTAATTTTCCTGACTTTTATCGTTAATATACTTTGCAAAGTATTTGTTATCAATGATTTTAATTTGTTATTAACAATAAATTTATTAATTTATTAACTTCTTGTAAGTTTCGAATATATTCTAACACAAATACGTCGTTTGTTAAGCAGTAGGCAATGATTTATTAACTTTTTTGACTTTTATCGTTAATATACGTTGCAAAATATTTGTTATTAGCAATAAATGTAGCAATTTATTAACTTTTTGCTAATTATAGATACATTTTCACGTAAATACTTTGTATATACTAGTATAGTCTATAATTTAGTCATTTTTCCACTTGTATTATAAATTTACGTTGTAACCAATTTGTTATTAGAAATAAGTGTAATAATTTTTACAGGTCCAACAGGACCTTCAGGTCCAAAATCATAGATGAAGCTGACCGTAGATCGTAGTAGATGGAATCTTATTGGTTCATTTAAATTAGCTACTTATTAATTATCTGCATGGCGGCAAAACCCCATGTACACATTAGCGATGAATATTTTCTCGATCTAATTAAATTGAAAACTGTTTCGACAATTCTATCCCATGGTTTCTTCTTCAGAAAAGCTTAAAGAATACAATACTGTGTAGCAAATTCGTGACAGATAAAGAACTTTTTGTAAAAATGCAAGAATACTACGTAGAAAGTATTCTCGGCTCGCCGGCTTATTTTTAAATTTTGATGACCAATTATATTTATTCAGAAGCGCGAATAATTATAATTGTGGACATTGATAAACTTGGGATACTCATATTTAACTTTTAAGACAAGAGTGACGTTCTAACGTTCTTTCTTTTTATGTAATACTTCATTTTAACAAAAAATTGTGCCCTTTTATAAAAACTCACAATTTTCTGAAACTGTGTGTAATAGAGCTATTTCGATTATATTCGTTTTCAAGAAAGTAAGCTCTACAAGAATCACCTAATAAATGTTACAGTTTAAAGAAAAAATAAAAATCTGTTAGACAATGTTATTAGATAATCAATTTTTATTTATTTTATATTTATAAATATGTATATAATGAGCAGCACTCTCAAACAATCCTCAACACTAAGTACGTTTGAATATAGGTCCAGCAGCAACAGAAGACATTGCTACCTGAGAAATACAAAAAGTTATATACAATTCTTCACAGAAAAATAACAAGTCAAATTAAAACACAAACTCTCGCGGCTTTCTTAATTACGGTAACGTCTTCAACGGGTTTCGATTTCATTGTATTTGCGTTTATTTTCTTCTTCTCCTCCACCTTAAACAGCTTCTATAAAAAAAAAATTATTTTAATTGTGTGAAGTATTAAGAAAGCCTGTTTTCTGTTAAGAAGAGCTCTCTTGACAAGTATATTCGAGTTCTTACGGGATCTTTCGTAGACAATTTCTCTTCAATTTTTTTCCTCTCTTGCATGGCATTATTAAGAGCAGCCTGTTCAGCATGTGAAAGTACTAGAAGCCTAGGATCCATAGCAATCCATTCACTACTGATAATTTGATCTAGTTTCCATCGTTTAGAGACGTCAGGTTCCAGAAGACGAGACACCAACTTTTTTACTTGCTCGCTCAATGTTTCTGCAACTTTACTACGGAACTTCCATTTGCGATTAGTTTGTTGCTCATACAGGCGTTTTATGTCAGTATCATCGAAAGGCATCGATTTATTCAACAGTATGTATAAGATAACACCAAGGGACCAAAGATCCGCAATCTTGGGATTGTACGGGGAAGCACGAAGGATTTCTGGAGCAGCGTAGGACAAAGAACCGCAGTAAGTATCGCTTAAAACACGTTTACCTCGATTATCTATCACATAGCGAGCAAATCCAAAATCAGCAAGCTTCACGTTGAGATTTGATGTTAAAAGAACATTCTCGCATTTCATATCTCTGTGAGCAATTTCCATTTCATGTAAATATTGAAGTCCTGAACAAAACAATAAAATTATTAATAAAAATGAGACCATTATAATTCTATTAGAGTGATCATAAACCATTATAATTCTATTAGAGTGATCATAAACCATTATAATTCTATTAGTTATTTTGATTTCATTTTCTTTTGACTTTTTTATTTTGTATTTAATCGATGCATGTTTAAAAATATATTGCAGTACCAAGTGCAAGCTGACGGAACCATATACGCGCCTGTCCTTCTGCAACAGCACCATTTTTCAGAATAAATTCCAGGAGATCGCCGTTTTCAGCGTAACGCATAAATATGAAATATTTGTTACGTCTTTGGAATATGCTATGCACGTGCACCACATGTGGATGATTCAATTTCACCAAGATATCAAGTTCTCGAGGAAGGAATTTTCGTACGAAATCCTTCGGTGCTACCCCAGTGTCTATAACCTTACACGCCAAAGTACTGTTCTTTTCTGGATCTGCTTCCGGTTTGTACTCCGCCAAATATACCTACAATTAAATACAGATAAATTTCATATCTATTGAAAAACAGAAAATGTAAAAGAATGTAAAAAATATATTTAAAGTATTCGAATCTATAGAAAACGACGTTACCAATTGAAATCGGAAAGAATTTGAATGTTACCGCCCTTTTGTGAATTCGTTACCGAATTGTTTTGCATTTTTAGTATGATTTATGAAAAGATTAATTAACCTTTGCATAAGCACCTTCACCCAGCTTTTTTAGAAATTTGTAACCGCGTGCAAATAAAACTGCCTCCTCGGATGAAGTTTGATTCAAATTCGACATGAGATTTCGCGATCCACAAATGACATCTTACTAATTCTGTTATCATAATTTTTCATTAATTATTTTGTAGTCTTTTCATTTAAAGAATGATGTTATTGTAAGTAAAATTCTAGTTTTTCTCTTTATCTCTGGAATTTTCTATACTTGTTAAATAATTTCTTTTATGAAGGTTAGGAAATGAATAACCAATTAATAAATAATTGTTTGGAATATTTTTCACATTTTGTAATAATTCTTATATACTCTGCAATAATTTGCAATTATTTTTCCCACTTACTTTTATTTACCAAGCAAGATTATAAAAGAATAGATTTTTGATAATGAAAATACCAGTTATTTAGCCATTTCGTCTAATTAAGTATTACATTTGATATAAAGCATGGTTTAACGGAAGATAATAGAATTCATGGCCTACTATTATGTAATTTTATCTCAAACATATGCGAAATAATTTTTTTAAAAACTAAGAGAAAACAAAAGGAGATAAGAAATTATTTTAAAAATAAATTGAATAAAAATTAACGATTCATGTTTTATTGAAATATACATTTAAATAGAGAATGTAATCGAATCGATATATATCGATCGATTTAACTTTGCAACTTCAAGAGGAGTGCTTGGTCTTTCTTCCGTGAACGTAACTAGAAGAAAGAAGTAACGTAAGTATATCTTAAGTAAATTTATAAATCTCATTCCGAAATTGCATATAAATTTAATTGTTATTGTATTTTAATGAATGCAGACAACTCTATAATCTCAATAAATATTATACAGAATTAAATTTCTTGTTTAATGTTTATAATATACTTAATGATCAATAAACACGTGTTTTAAGGTTAGAATGGATACATCGTTTCATAATAAATATAAACATTTTTCGTAAATTATGTGTTTTATCAACCTTGAAGTAACAAAACAGAATTTTATTGGAGACTATACAGAATTATTTGCTTTTCTTTTCATAAAGTAGTAAATCACATTTCTATTGATTTCAAACAGTATGGCGGACACTGCTCCAGCCGCGCGTGGAGGCTTTCGTGGAGGATTTGGTTCTCGTGGAGGAGGTGATCGTGGAGGATTTGGTTCTCGTGGAGGAGGTGATCGTGGAGGTCCACGAGGCAGAGGTCGTGGAGGTAGAGGACGAGGTCGTGGTCGTGGACGTGGTAAAGAAGACAGCAAAGAATGGATTCCAGTGACTAAACTTGGACGTCTTGTCAGAGATGGAAGGATTGAATCCTTGGAACATATTTATCTTTTTTCTTTACCAATCAAAGAATATGAGATTATTGACAAATTTCTTGGAGTTGAATTGAAAGATGAAGTCCTCAAAATAATGCCTGTACAGAAACAGACTAGGGCTGGTCAACGTACACGTTTTAAGGTAACATTACAATTAATTAATATGCTTATTAGACCTGTAAAAATGTAATTAATAATCCATTTTTATTTTGTAGGCTTTCGTAGCTATTGGTGACTATAAAGGTCATATTGGTCTAGGTGTTAAATGTTCCAAGGAAGTAGCTACTGCCATCCGTGGTGCTATCATTTTGGCTAAACTTTCTGTTGTGCCAGTACGACGTGGTTATTGGGGAAACAAAATTGGTGATCCTCATACAGTACCCTGTAAAGTCACTGGCAAGTGTGGATCAGTTCAGGTGCGCCTAATTCCAGCACCACGAGGTACAGGTATCGTTTCAGCACCTGTGCCTAAGAAACTATTACAGATGGCTGGTATTGAGGATTGCTATACTTCTGCAAGAGGATCTACATGTACTCTTGGTAACTTTGCTAAAGCTACCTATGCTGCTATTGCCAAGACCTACGCGTATTTAACACCAGATCTATGGCATGATCAAGCATTAAGAAAAGCGCCATATCAAGAATTTGCAGACTTTTTATCTAAAAACCATAAAGTCATGGGTGGACAAAGACCAGCTAAAGTGGTTTGAATAATAAACCTTCATGCAAAGTATTTAATTGTAATTATTTTACCTTCAGCTTTCTATCCTTCCCCATTTTTAATATATTTAATATTTCATAGGTAATGAATTAAATAACTTGTACTGTTATAATTTATTTTATTTTGACATTGATATAAAAGTAATTTACGTACTATCTATAGATGCATCTTTAGAAGTTTTGAATTGTTCATAAGCATTATTAAAAGTTTCTAAAGAGTGATCACAAATTTTTTCGAAATCTTGTAATCCTTTTTTCAGCATGTCTATCGCTTTTCCTGTTTTTGTTTGTATTCGTAAATATATATTTCCTTCTGCTGGATGATTAACAGAACAAGCACAAAATTCTACATCAGGACTGTTAAAAAAAGCAATAATTTAATATTTATTAATAAAATTGTTTTCATTAATAAACACGTACTTTTGTGAAATCACGGCAACTAAAGAATTTCCCAGAGTATAATCTTCACCCATAAATACAAAAGTTTTACATTTTTCAGTCGATTGTTCACTAGCTACCTACGCATAAAATAACATGTTAATTTAATTTTTATATTCTATATTACAAAACATGGTATAATTTTATATTAATAAATATCGTACCTCTGCTAATCGGCCCATTTTATTTATGTATAATGAATGAATTACTATAAAATAGTATAAATCTGTTTTATTCCTAATCTTATGAATTATCAATATAATATTTAAAATGTAAGCGACATAAGACGTGTTTAGCACATTTACATTATTACACTACGTAACCTAATTTACTGTATCACTGAAATACATAACCTTATTTTATTGTTTATCTACTTACTGTAGATCAATAAACACACTCACGAAATCTGGATTATAAATTTTATTTCTTATGACAAAGAAATAGTTCAATAATTTAAGTAAATGAAAAAATATTTGGTACTTCACAAATTATAATTAAAATAATCATATTAATATTTTATGAATTTTATTTTATATCTAATAATAATTTTGTATTATAGAAAACATAATAAATAACGTGAATAAGTAGAAGGAATAACAGAAAATGTCTTTGATAAAGCTAATCTTCAGTGCATCATTAAGATCAAGATTTCAAATTATTAGTGTAAGATATTACAGTTCAAAATCTAAAGAAATTCTTGATTCTGCCGAAGAAGTACCTGTCTTTTCAAAAGAAAATGTATTTTCTGAGGCATCAGAGATAATAAGAAATAAGTCGCGACTTACTCCTGCACATAGGAATATATTGCGGGGACAAAATCCTTATGATGAATCTATGGCATGGTACCATAATACAGTCAAGTATAAGAAACGAATATTAGGAAGGTATGGAATGGAAGCATTAAAAGTACCTGCAGGTTTGGCATGGCCTACTCCTGAAGAAGTAGAAGACAGAAAGGAATATGAAAGAATTGCATATCCACTGAGTATTCAAGAACAATTACAAAAAATTAAAGAAGAAAAGAAAAAGAAGGAAGAGGCTTTAATGGCTAGGTATTAAATAGTTAAATACACATTATAATATATGTTTAAATATATATTTGCATTTACAGGCAAATGGAAATAGCTAAGAAAATGGCTGGTATGAAACAATTAATAAATCAGGTACAAGCTAAAATTGCTGACAAGGAGATGAAAGAATTGGAAGCTAAAGAGCGGAAAAAACGTAAGATTGAGGAGGTCAGACAACAATTAATAGCTCAAGGAATGATGAACAACGCTAACCTAACAGATGCACTAAGTCAAATGGAGAAAGAGGAGAAGAAAAGAAAGAAAGAAATGAAAAAACAAAAAATGCTTGAAAGACAAAAGAAAATGGTAGAAATAGTTCGGAAAAAGTTACAAGATGATAATATTGATTCTGAAGCATGGAATGAGAATGTAGTAGATTCTAAAAAAGAGTAATTAAAAATTTACGAGGTAAACAGTTTGATGAAAACGTGTTGTATTATAAAATAATTTCTACATAGTAAAATGAACGTTTTACAAACATCCACTATTATTTAAATCCCTACTGTTAGTATATAAAATTTCCAAAGTAATTGGAGTTTAAAAGAATAATAATATTTACAGTTCATAGTAAATATTGTATTTTCTTTTGCTAATACAAAAAACGGTACATATTATTTTGTAAGGGCTAAAAGAAAACTATACTAATGTGTAGTATTAAATGACTTGATAAGACATATATCCAGGCACAATTGGAATAATAATATGCTGCATTTCATTCAACTTTACTCACACATAGATTTCAAGTACCTTGAAAAAAATTTGATAACCATTTTTATTTTGGTTTTCATATCAATTTCACTGTAGCACTATTGGAAAAAATCAGCTTTCAACCATGGACTCTTGAAATTCCTTTTCATCAATGACACTGTAAATATCTCCGCCATTTTCGACTTGATCGCAGTTTTGAACATTTTGTAAGTGCAGCTCATCAATAACAATTAATCGCAGTTTATTTCTATCCATGTGTCAGGCAGATTGGATCTGTGATGGAGATGATAATTCGTAGAACTGGAAACTTAACTCTTCTCCAAAAAGATTTTCAGGCGTAATAATTTCTGGTTCAATCATATTCAAACCTAAAGTAGTAGGATTTAGATCTGTAACTAGATAGCCCTCACTGATAAGTCCACATTCTTCTGCTACCACTTCTTTTGATACTGGATTAAGAAAATCTATGAAGATATTCACCAAATTAATAACATTTAAAATTAAGTTAATAAAATTCTTGCATTTTTTTGAACTATTTAGATTACCACTCTCTTTGGCAGGGTAATGAAGTTCCTGTGTTTGCTGATTGGACTGGGTTGATTCATGTTCATTATTAGACACCATCATAGGAACCAGATATTGTACCTCTACTTCTTTTTTAATACCACTAAGTATTTCTTCAGCACAATGTTCTAATGTTACAGAATTCACTATATTTTCAGCTTCTTCTTCTGGAGATTGTTGTATAATGCTAGCAGTTGCTGCTTCTACTTCATCTATTGGATTCATTTGACTGAAAATGTTAATATTTAAAATATATAAATATTTTATAACGAATTAATTTCTCAGTTATAGTTGATTACCTAATATTTTTCCTCAGATTTTCAACTTCTGTAGTGTTCTTGCTTATTTGCTTCATGGAGGAATTAGTGGTAGAAGTATTAAAGATTTGTCTAGGTCTGGAATCTCCAGAACGATTAGCAATAGCCCATAAATGTCCAGCTCCATGTGGTGCTTTTGATCCTTTTCTGAAGTGAGGATTTATGGAAAGGTTGTGTCGAACGGAGTTTTTCCAACGATCGTCATTACTTTTGTAGTAAGGAAAATGTTCTCTAAACATGTTGAAATATATTTTATTAATTTTGTATATAATAAATCAAATAAATGAAGTAAGAAATTTGATAAATTATCAAGAAATTTATTTTATCAGCTTCTTTTTAAGGAATAAATAAGCTGTTCATAGGTCAAAGTGGTTAAGTAAATCCACTTTTCGAATCTTGTAAAATTTTATTTTCCAAAGTATTTAATTAGCGTTTAATGTCTTATATTTAAAATAAATTTCTATTTTTTATTTTTTGGAGTTAATCAATTTGGTAAATGAGTAGCTGAAATATAAGTATAAATGTCTACATTTAGTATAAATGACAGACATTTAAATAGTGCTTGTCGCTTGTCTGTTCAAGAACAAGCGTGCACCCCCGCGAGAATAATTTTCTTCACCTGCTTGCGGCGACGTCACGACATGTTACACGCTCCCCTAATTAATTCTCGGCCTTTAGAAAAAAAAAAAAAAAAAAAAAAAAAAA